TAATTCTAATTGGTTTTAAAGTGGTTACTGAAGTCAATGCTGACGGAAAGGGTTACGGAAAGGATAGACGATATGGACATCAAAAGGGCAAAGATGTGAAGGTTTACGGACACAGAAGAGGTCGAGAATACGGACATAAAGGAGGTTTTGGCAAAGGAAAGAAAAGCGGTCATTGAAACACTCATTTGGACCTATACTATACTATATTATTATTATATTATCATGGTATATAAATTATTTAGATATTCTAAATTATTGCTAAATACTCTATTTTTAAATAAACTAAATGTAGATCGATTTATACCATATTCTTATAGATGCTTATAAAAATATTGCAGTAAATACTGACTAAAATTATAAAAATATTGTTTGTAAACTACTGTTTTAATATAATAAAAAATATTTACTTATATTAGTATAACCACTGGACATTCAAATTCTTTAACCTAGCTAACACTCAAATAACATGTGACCAGTCTAATGACAATATTATCGGTCGGTATAAATAATTTTTTATATATTCGCTTTGTATTTAAAAATTTTTTAATGATTAACTTTAAAAAATTAGATTATGGTTTAACAATAATAATACTATGAAAATGCAAATGATCAAAACGTAAGCTACATTAATTACCTCACTGTCTGTTTACCCATGGTGGTGGCAACACTATATGAAATATTTAACCCTATACTTTTATCCCTAAAATAAAGTTAAATCAGTCAACTAGATTTAAAATGTGACCATATTTATTATTTTTTAGTAGACGGCTGGTCACAGGTTAATTACAATTGATTTGTACTATACTTTACTCTTTATATTTTAAATAAAAAATTTCAGATAATATTAACACAAATTCACTGTAAATGTACTAAATTGAAATATTTAATTTTGAGCTACAGTATGACTACAATATACAGCAATTAAAAATAATACGAAAAACACATAATAATAGCGATTAAATCAATACTTATTATTACAAACTTAAGAAAAATATTTTTAATGTTCACAACACATGGCACGCAAATTTCTAATTAACTTAAAACTAGATAACAATAAGTTTAATAAGAATTACATCTTTATATTGTTATTCATTTCTAAAGATTGACGTGAAGTTACTTTTGAATCAATCAATAGATTTACGTCTATGTCAATAGTTGTCATTCATTTCATTTTCTTAACGTTTCGACAGATGAACGACTAATTTTGCAATCTTTAAAATGAATGTTAAAGTATTGATCATTTTAATGGCTGTCTGTCTCTTAATCACTGGTAATTGTGTATTAAATTGTTTTAAATATAATCCTAACTTAAAGTAAATGTTTGGATATACTATAGAAGTGTATGAAGTGGAGGGTCAGGCGAATGGCGGCACCGGTAATAAAGGTGTCGCTTCTGGTCGTCGAGGAAAGGGTCGCACCGGAAAGGATAGGGGGGCGCGAAGGGGTCGTCGTGGAGGCCGTGTTGGACGAGTCGGGAAGTAATCCATTTATTGTAATTAACATTTAAGACTATATTATTTACTATATTATATAGCATTAGTATAGCGTTAATGTATTAAATGTACTGGATCATTTAACGTTCTGTAAAATGTCAAAAATGCTTTGAATTATTTCTATCGTTTCAACTTTTATTCTCATATAATTTTATTTGTAAACCATTTGAATTAATAGTTAATTACTTTAGTTAACCAAGTTGTTATTTATTTTTTCAGTAAGTGAAACAAAATATATGTTGAAAATTGTATGTAAAATCTATGTGAAATTAAATGATGAAATAAAAACTACATTTAAAGTTATGTCAATGAACTTATTTCTAAATTTTTTATTTTTGAACATATTTTAAACTTAATTAAAATATTAGTCCTATTTCTCGATAAATTTATATTTTATAAATTTCATAATTACAAGGAATGAATAAATCATTTTTATTTATATGTGTTGTATATTTTATATTGATTTCCATTTCTATTGCATTGATCACCAAAACTGATGCAATTTATCCAATTTGTGAGTAAATTCATATTATTTTGATTGTATAATAAATATTAATTATATTAATATAATATTAAAGAATCGAATGCTTAAAATTAAATTTAATTGTTATACACTTTTAAGACAAAAGTAGAGCTTTGGCTTAATTTACAAAGAATATTGAATTGCAATAACTATAGAATTAACTAAATATTAAAAACTTGTATACATTGATAGGCACTCTAAATCTCAATTTGAGTCAAACAGATTTAACGTGTATTTAAACAATATTGTGTTAACCATTAAGTCGGACCGGGAGGCACTCCAACACTATTCACAGCCAATGAAAGCTATTACTGTTTGGATAATTCAACAATAAAGTCAATCACTAGACAACAGACACAATATATTGAGATTCCGTGCACTGGTGTCCGGTATATAAGCGGTTCAAACCATTTCAATCTTACGTTTAATGATGTGTCGGAATATTCATTACATATAGAAAATGTTCAGACNTATTACTGTTTGGATAATTCAACAATAAAGTCAATCACTAGACAACAGACACAATATATTGAGATTCCGTGCACTGGTGTCCGGTATATAAGCGGTTCAAACCATTTCAATCTTACGTTTAATGATGTGTCGGAATATTCATTACATATAGAAAATGTTCAGACATTGGAAGGAATAATTAGATGTAAGAGAAGTTATGATTTATTTACAAAAATGCAATAAAACATTTCAAAATCATTTTAACAGCAAATGTTATATTACTCTCAATCGCTTCCCTGTCGGACACCAAATGCGCAAACGGTTATTATATCCAGATTTCATCAGCCGTTCCGATGCCTAAAAACAACTGCAACTCTCCGTATGGGACCCGACAGGTAAGGGTTGTCGACACGTTGTTTAAGATAATCGGCGGCTATTGTGAGTCCACTTGTAGAGGGAATGGCAATTGGTCTTACAATCCTGGCATCCGTTTTAATAATATTTTTACTCATTATGACCAGTATGACTTATCATTCTAAGACACGTTTAAATCATTAATAAATTATAATTAAAATTAAATTATATTTATTTCATAATATTTTACAAAACTTCATCACTATAGTTAGCTATGTATTAGTTACACTGTAAATATATTCAATTAAAATAAAAAAATAAATATTTTCAATCTATTTTACTATATAATCACTAATTCGTACGATTCTTAGTCTTCCTATTCTCGAGTTGGGCAATGAGTTTTTCATTGGTCTTACATTCCTATCAAAATCAATGTAAAATAGTGAGTAAATCATTTTTAAATCAGTGTTTATTAATAGTAAAATACAAACCTCTTTGAAATCTTTAACCCCTTTATAATAAAGGCGTTGCTTTTCAATTAACTCCAAATAAGAGTCATTCAATTCATCGCGTTTTGCTTTCTCCGTAAACCTTCTGTTCTCTACTTTGAGTTTCGTTTGTTTAATATTTTCAACGATTTGCTCAAATTGTAACAAATATTCTTCTTTAACATTATTAGAGTTTTGAGCTCTAAATCAA